TTAACAGTAGGAAAGACATAAATGACAATATTTATTTTTATATACTGCTTTGTGTTATTAATTCATTGAGAGCAGCAGTCATTTGTGAGCTTAGTGAGAATATGCATTAATGGTGGGTATGAATGTGAGAATATTATTTTAAGGAAGTACCTTACAGCGAGCATTTTTTCACTCTCAACCCTAATGCAAATAATTATTGCAGCAAACAGTTTTTAATAATTCTCTTATTTGTGGCATGTAGGAAAAGTTATTAACAGAAATGTTTCACACGTTAAAGGAGGGTGTTTACCTTAACCGTATCTACTAGGGATTTCATGAAATGTGATTATCTGCTAGAAGCTGTTATGTCATGCTTTGATCCACCAAGTCAGAGCATGATGAAGAGCTGGATGGCTGCACGTACCAAAAGACAAGAACTTTTGTCTGACAATCAGAAGGTTAGTGTGAATTGGACTTTATGATGATGCTTTGCTTTATTTTAGGTGGAAGGTGGATGAGGCGATTCAGGGGGAAAGCAGAAAAATGTTGGTCTCTGAGGATGCTATAATTATGTGGGCTATTGGAATTACGTGTAATATTTAATAAAGAACATTGATGAATTAGATTAACACTTTGAAAGTTGTGTGAAAATTGTTTGTTTATTGTGTATATGATTAGTTTGCCATTGAGAGAGAGAGACTTGTAATATGGAACGAGTTTAGGTATTCCATTTGTTTTGTCCATTTCTTGTTGTCCTCCACTCTCTTCTCACCTTATTGTAACATCTTTTGGGCTTTAGAATGGAGAGGAGGCTGCAAGTAAGGAGTCTTCAGCAGGTTTAAAGAAGCATGTGACAGGAGTTGAGCTTGAGTCTCTTATTACAGAAGTCAAAGACATCCTGCCACACTTGGGAGATGGCTTTGTGGAGGTAACACTTGTTCTCAGTTGCCGACTGAGTATTTTATTTCATAACTCATTCATTTAAGTTGTGAGAACTTCAGTAGTGTTTTATGTCTGAACGTTTGTCAAAAGTTAGCAGAGGATGTACAATTTCTTATTGACTCTGTAGATCTTGTTGAAAAAGGAATGAATAGTGTAAGTTACAAGTCCCAAATGAAGCAATTCATTATAGTGTGTTCTAGCTTGGTATCATCTGTGCTTAGTGGTCAAAATGTCTGTACTTGACTTCCAATCTGTAATTTTCCTGATCATCCTATGTTATCCCACTATATGTTGCAGTGCTTTTGCAGGTAGGTCGTGTTATACTACAAACATGGCAGCACTTTTTCATATGATACCCAACTAGTCCTGCAATTTTCTTGTAATTTGCACCACTGATTGCAGTGAATTTTGATGATAGCAGGTACCAGTCATGAGTTTTCTTTATATTCTTTTAATATAAATGAAATATTAGTCTCCAGTCTAATCCAAAATATATGCATCGTTCTGCAATGTGTATAGCGTTATTACAATACTGATTCTTAATAAAGATATATTTTGTACAGCAAAGTTTGTACTGTTGCAGAGATGTTTGGAGCACTTCAACTTTGTTAGCGAGTCTGTGATAAATGCCATATTAGAAGATACATTACCAGCTGATCTCAGAAACATAGATCAAACATTACCAAGGATACCTCGAGACACGATGGTACTATCAACGTATTTCTTTTCTGTGGTTAACAGTTAGCAAATACTAAAAATTTTGGAAGCTCTTATTGTGTTTTGTAATGGGCTCATATCTTGATTGGTGTAGATTATTATTAATCAAGCTACTAGGTAGATTTGCATTTTCAACAAATAATATAAGCTATGCATTGTTTGGTGTTTAATAATCATTGTTGTGTATGGCTGATATTTGTATATTACAAATTATTAATTCTGCTGTATTTTTTGCTGCACAGGGAGTGACTGAGGCAGCTCTAGATATACAGCGACTCAGTATATTTGATAATGATGAGTTTGACATTATGACCCAAGATCAAGTGGATACATCCAGAATTCATAAAGGAAAGAGGTGATTTTTGTATCTCATTTATATATATATATGTCCCCCACCCCCACCCCAGTTAATTCTTTTCCATACATGCATCATATGATAAAATTTTGCGTTACATGAGACTTCAGACTGAGGTTTAGAATGGTTAATTTAATTTTAGCTCACATTCTTTTCCCATAAGGAATGCTAGGCAGCATGTTTGTGTGTGTGTGTCCATTTGGCCATCTCCCCTTACTATCGCTGTAACCTCCTAGTGTGGAGTTGACTCCATGCAGACTGCATAATATGTGTAACACTTCTGTTATGTAGGAAAGCAAAGTACAGGAACTTGAATGAACTAATAGATGATAAATCTCACCGGGCGGAGTTCCGTGACATGTACACCAAATTTGGCGTAATTGACACTGAAGGCAGCTTGTACAATGATGAGTATGATGACACGTATGATTACTTGGATGTGTCAGTCAGAGAGGAAGGTGATCTGGAGAGGTAAGAATGAAAGAAGAAAAACAGCACTTAATAAGTGTTCTTACTTTTTATTGTCGTAGAATGGTGAAATTCTGTTATGTACTGATAAATTGTGTTGGTCTGTGTCAGTCTTTTCTCCAATTATACTAATTTAATTTTGTAACATTTTATGTTCTTATGACAATGGAATGCCCATGAATTCAGGTTTTTCCTTGTTTAACATTTAAACATGTAGAGCAGTGCTGGTGATGGAGGCATCAAGGACCTTCTAAAATTTGGTAAACTTCTGCCAGACTACATAGCCCAAGAACCTGCAAGACAGCCAGTCCTCTTTGTACTCACTGCCATGAGAACCTCATATCCTACCTATTTACTAAAGATTTTGTTTAATATTAGCCTGCAATCTCCTTCATGGTTTTGCATGGCTGCTTTACAAGAGATCTGCTCATTAAAATTTAGCAAATGTCAGTCTGTTGATTTCATTAGTCACATAAAACCTGGCTGCGTCTGTGAAGATTATTGACCTTTCCCTCTTTTTTACCAGTTCAGTCAGAGGCATGTTCTGCTAGGCATTAATTCCCAAGTCTGATCTGACAGTGCTTAAGAGGCCAGTTTTATGTTTCATTTGATTCCGTGCCATGTTTAGCTTCCGTGCAATAGAAGCAAAATTGGCTGGGATTTGAACCCAGGACATCTGGACTGACGCACTTCCCACAGCACTACAATCCATATACAGGTAGCCCTCGATTTATGCCGGGGATGCGCTCCTGGACGAACCGGCGTAAACGGAATCGGCGTAAATTGAAACTCTTTTATAATGTAAATCAGTGGGAAGTCAATGACATGCGTTCCCGGCACCCAAACATTAACAAGTAATATAATGGCATTACATTTAAAGCTCTGAAGTAACATAAATAAAATAAAGGGAATTTAAAAAAATATATTTTATACACTTAACAATCGGCAATTTTTTGGGCCCTGCGATTGACTGCGATTCTTTCATGTGATTGATGTGTGCAGTCATCTCTGCTGTTATGCAATAGTTGCATTCATGTAAGACGCCGACCTATCGAAAATCGCGTAGTGAAAATAACCCCGGTACCTCCACAGAGATTAAATTAGACCTTTGAAAGTTTAAAGCGCCAGGAATGAAATTGCATAAGAGCAAACTCGCATATGCAAAAGTTTGCATTTCACAAACAGCTTTTACCGATTCATCGATCTCATTGGAGCAAATTCGCGTTAACGAAAAATACGTAGTTGCAGAGATGACTATTTATAATTTTTATTCAAAATCAGCAATGTAAGAATTATGATTTAGTATAAGAATCAGTTCAAGATACACTGTAAAACATTATAGATAATAGTAAATTTTTTTTCTTCACTTTTTGACTTGTTTAAAAATCGGCGCAAACCGAGGGCTACCTGTACATGTTAAGAGAGTGTAGATCTATTCAAAATACTTGATTTTAAACTTCTTGTTTCTTATTTTGGTCATAGAGTTTTCTTGTGTTACTTAGTTTTCATGAAACATTCTGGTAGTCCTTATGTATCATGTAGTACTTGGTTTGTCAATCTTGCAACCCATTGTACTACTTTGGCACAATGAAAATTTAATTTTGAACTGCCGTATGTATTTTGAAGTTTAAACAACATTTCTACAAGAATTTTAGTATTTGTTGCTCCCTGCTGATTTAATGGGGATATTGCATCTGAGATGATGAATTTTTTTCTTCGCAGGAGGCCATTTGTTGTGCCGCGTGTGTTGTGTGCTAAAGAGGACGAGGACTTAGGTGGAGTAGGAAGTGAGAGAGAGGAGCAGGGAGAGCTGGAAGATACAGAAGAGCCACCACGGGATGAGTTTGTGCCCAATCCGGAGGAGCAGAGAGCCAAGGCTGAGCAGCGGCGACAGCAGCAGTTGCAGTCTCGTGGCAGGTACTGGAGGAAAGGTCTCCCAGCCAAGAATCAGGATGTTGTAGGTATGTGAATGTTAAACATTAAAAGTGTAATCTCCAAAGTAAATAATCCTGAAATAAATAACACCCGTAAATACTGTATTATTTCAGTAACTCTTTTTTACATTGTAAAATTATGTCAGTAGGTGTTATGACGAAGCCTTCCACGCCGTGTTGTGCTGGCTGCATCACTATCTTGCCGAAACTGTTACATTCTGACAGACAGTAATTCTGCTACCAATATGCGTAACGTATCTACTCTTCTTTGGTGGTAATTTTTCAGCGTTAACTTCATATGTTTGTTGGACCACTCTAAGTTATGGTTCTCTACTGCAGCTTTTTCCATATGAATGATTGTGATGTTCCACCATAATTGTTGATAAAGGTTTGTGAAATGAAAAAAGAAGGCAACAAATTTTTCATATAAGATTCCTAAACGGAACAAATAAATTTTGAAGCCTAAACAGAAGGGAAATCTCGAACATTGGGGGGGGACTAAGAAGGTTGAAGCAGGATCATAATAAATTTGGAATGTATGCGTAGGATAACAGTTTTGGCACACTGCTGTATTATTGCCTCCAGATTTTCAATTCATGAATTCTGTCATAGATAGTAGTAATGTAAGTCTGTCTGTTCCATCGAAAGACGACCTTTAATCGTAGCGAATTTTTCCGTTGATGTCAGAGTCGTCTAGGGTCCGTGACTTCTGCGTGGGCAGGGGCCATGTCGAGCAGCAGCGAACATCTTATAAACATTATCTCGAAAATTTCAGCAATTTGCTACTTCGAAGCAAGAACTGCAATAGACACTTAATGTTGCATGAATAAATTTCATCATCGCCTTGTACCGAACTGTGTATTGGCTTTCTGTCTGTTCCAGGATGCCCCAAAGGGCAGGGGCAGGAGAAGCAGATTGTCGTCAATCGAGAACACAAAAACGTGCATAAAAGCAGTCGAGGAAATCATAATAGACGAATTTTCTCACAGAGAAAGAGGCAGCAGTTATGATGATGTGTTAACGGCTTATGGATTTTTATGCAGTTTAGTTTTGTAGCCCTCGTGTTGCATTTGCGTAACATGTCCTTGTATGGAACAGCTGTGAAGGTAAGAGAGTTGGATGGATATTTCTACAATAAAGGTTCCTTCTAATAATCTACATTTTCCCTCGTTGTATGAATGAGAACTTAAATGCTATCTAATGTTCATTTGTCCCACATGTTGAGTCATCAGCCCACATACACGTCCTTTATCCCTAGACTCAGGTCAGTGGCACCGTTCACAAAGGTCAAATTATGACGTGTTTCAGAGTAATTTTTTGACTTGTGTATATTGAAAGAAAGCCAAATATCCAGGGCCCAATTGTCTGTGGAGTGAATTATTTGTGGTCTCAGATTGTCTGAAACGTGTAACACGTTTTTAGTAAGTACTCGCGACAGTCTTATATTGAGTGCAGTTCATTTGGGCAGAAAGAAATCAAACGAAAATTACGGACTTTCTGATAAAATGACTTCAAGAAAGCATGTTTAGTATTTTCTTAAAATGTTTTGCAGTGCAAACATTTGTTTCTGTTTATAAATATGTATTTTGCTCACATTATTCAGTATACTAAAATGCGACCATGTTTCAGGGGCCGGCTCTGCCCTTGTCTTCAGGTGACAAAATCTACTCTGTGGTGTCCACTAGAAAGGATTTGGGATTATCCCCTTCTAGTGGACCCAGCAAAGTAGTTTTATAACTTTAAGATTGGCGGCAGTGCCGGTCCCCGAAACGTCACTTCATTTTAATATACTGAATGACTGATTTAGTTTTAAGGAACAAAGGGATTTTTTACTATTACTGTACTTTGTTTTAACTAGTGTAATCCTGTACACGCCTCACGTCCTATTTCCATAAGAAGCGTTTAATATTATCCCATCTTTGCCCAGGTCTCCGAAAGGTTCCTTTCCTTTAGACTTTCTGACTAAAATTTTGTATGCATTTCTAACCATCCCTCGTGTACTGCATGCCCCACCTATCTACACACCTGAGTTTTGCTCGGGTCACTTTCCGTTGTTTGAAATTGTGAATTTGTAGACGGTGGGAGAGAGACCATCGAAATTGCCGAGAAATTATGGATCAGGTAAGATGATTTTATACTGCAATTGAAAGAATTTGGATTTGGTGCCTTAACAACTGTCAGGCCGTTATATGGCCACAGCTTAAATGTCTTCTGACACAAATATTTGACAGTTTCTGTATATGAATTTTTACTAAACTTGGTACTCAGAAAAATTAATGGGGTACCATAATAGGGTTGTTATATCTGAATAGAGTCTGAAGAGAAGGAAGAAGAACAAGCTCCTCATATCTCATAATGGATGAGTGTAGGATTACATTCTGCCAGAATGTCGTGAGAGGGTTGCCAGTCTCGTATTGCGACGCAGTAAAGGTTTACAATCTGTCAGAGTCATCAGACAAGAGTTGCAAACAGATTTGACATCGTGGGCCAATTGATTATCACTTATATTCATATTCGAGAAGTTTCGGATTCAGATGTCGATTCAGAGACCACTGAATATTCTGACTGGTTTTTCTTTAGTCCCTCCAGACAAATGTTGGGAGAGTGCCTGGAATTACTTGTGTGTGTGTGATGGTCCCAACAGCAGAGTTTTGCTTCTGAGATGAACCTTCAGATTTCTTAACAGCATTTTTTTAGACGACTACCGACAGCTCAAGGAAGGCTGTACCATGTAGCTAGTATGTCCAACTTTCTTAGTATCTGATTTCATAAAACTTAATTGAACCGAAGTCTCAAAATGAATCTCAGTCTTTTTCTGTTTATATGAGTTTCTGCCTCAAAAGGATTAACAGACGGCGTCTTTAATCAACGAATGCTAAAAGCGAATATTTTAATTGTTTTTGTGTTTCATTTACAAAAGAATCAGATTCGTTATTTGTCCTGTGATGTATTTAGACCTTCAGAATCCTTAAAGCAGTTTTAATTTTTCGTGTAACATGGTGGTTACCAGACGAGACCAGTATTCTTCAAAAAGTTAGCCTTGCCTGGTAGGCGACCTTCTGCTCATCATGAATCCATGCGTGTTAGGTCTTGTTGAGCATCGTAAAATTATTGTAAAGAACTCGGAAGAATGGCGTTTATTGTTATCCGAGCTATGGTTTCATGAATGCATTACAGCGGAGCATTCACTCGTGCCCTGTAAAATTAATTCAGCACGAAATAATCGATTTACAGGAGATTTAGCATAATAAGATCGGAATGGAAATTGCAATGTGAATTGAATATTAACGTGGTATTTGACAAAAGGTTCCATTATATTCTGGGTCGCTACCTGTTCCATTAATAGTTACCCTTGTCACTTCTCCGGTTCTGTGTTGAAGTCTCTTGATACTGAGATTTGTCGTAGGTCTCTTGTAAGTTCTGATAAGAATTTGTGCATTTCCTAGAATTTTACATATTTTAGAGCGCATGTATTTATATCGCAGTTGAAAATTTATATTAACTGTGAGTTTGATTTAAACTAATTGTAACTTCCTTCTGTGTTATGGATCTATCGGTCACATCGATATTCAATTTTAATAATAATTTGTTTTTATGTGTGTAAACGTGATAATTTTTATGTTCTTATTACGATCAGTCAGTTTAGTGACTAAGAAAGAGGTTCTTAGGTGTTTTATGTTGTGCATGTTAAATTTCCTGGCTGTAAGGCCTTGGAGGAAAAACCTCTGTACTTGAAAAATCCTGAGCTGGCAAGGTCACTCGGGACGCATAATTATCTCGTATTTGGTAGTCCGTAAAAACTGACTTGAGAAACAATAAGTCTTACCATTAACGGTACATTTTAAAGACGCATTTACCCTGAAGTTGGAAACGATATGTTCCTCCAGAACAAAAGTACACGGCGTCGTGGCCCAGAAGACCACAATACAAGCTGCCACGCTCTGGAAACCTCAAATCCTTACGCGAAGGTGTTTAGATTTTAGTATATGCTGAATTTTGTGTCCTACTGATGTACCAATCAACCGGTTAATTATAGTAGGTTTCCTATTAATCGGCCTACCTGCGTGTAGTTGAGAGCCCGTTAATTTCTGCAGGTGGAGAGAGCGAGGAAAGTAGAGGAAGATTTTGCCTAGTGTGAGGCGGATGTTGAACCTGCCGCATCTTGCATAAGATTATCAGACAACAGCTGATTCGCGGGATATATCGCCCACCGCGGCTCGCGGCTCCCATCAGTATCAATTCGTCCACGCTCTGCATCTGCGCGCCATGGTCTGCAACGACGCTCCAGCCAGGTAACCGCTTCTTTTTATCTCTAGATTTGCTGGTGGGTCTTCTGTCTGTAATGTACTCAGTGTATTCGCTATTTTATCCTCGTTTCTCGGTCAATTTTGGCCGCGATGTGGTTGGATAAAGATTTTGAAGGAAGCAGTTGTGGCTTATCTAATTTCTTTGCACGATGTCTAGTTAGAAGCACTAGGTCCTTCTGGTTTAGATTTATTTTATATAGTTTAAGAGGATCAGTGTGATGAACGTATTCTACCAGCTCTTAACAGTTAAATCTAAATATGTTCAGTTTTTACACAACACAAATTAAACTTCACCAAGGAAATACAGAGCTACTGACGGCAAATTTCTTTAAAACCGACCATGGAGACATTAATGCATGTAGGGCGATTGAGACAAACCCCCAGCTAGAACAGGTTGTCTGTCATATGGAGAGGTTCAAACCGAGGCCGATCTCCAGAATACGAAACGAATGCTAATCACCAGACCCCGTCGTTCATTGAGCATTCTTTTGTTATCAAATCTAAAACTTCTTGACGATGGTGAAGAGTCAATTGAATAAACATTTTCTTGGATATTATCCATCGTCTAGTAAATATAAAACGTAAAACGACGTTTCGGAGATGGGACTCTATCTCCGTCTTCAGGTTCCTACACAGTTGGGCCCACTAGATAGAGCTAATCGTCCGGAGATAGCCTTTCTCGGGCTCCCGAATAAACTATAGAATACCTCCCATTCATGTAGTTAAAGCGTTGTTAATTCACACAGCATTGTAAATGATTAGTTCACACAACAAAATTCTCGTTCTTGACCGAGTTTCTGCTTCCGAAATATTCTAATTAAACTGTAGCCGTGCTTACAGACTAATTACAGGAACAAAGAAGATGCTTTGTTGTTGTTTTTGAAGAATCAAGGATAAGTCACTTCCGTTTTACCATGGCACACAAATTCTGTTAATCCTTCTTAACGCGATCGGTTTCCCTGTGGCCTAGATCCGCCTCAGCAATTTGCAAGTTGAAGATTCAGGTCAAACAGCCCTCATTGCACGAACGGCCTTGCCAGGATCAACTGCGGGCGACTGTTCGCGTGAAGTTACCTCGAAACTTTCAATGAAGGGGGACGTATTTGATAAATAATTCTGATCCAAATATCATCATTTGGTTGTAATCATTTCTCAGATTAGAGAACACGTCGTTCCGGGCTCCTCTTTTGCATTTCTGCCCTGATTACGTCAAGGAGGAAGCCCTGTCAGATGGTCTGTTTAGTATTTGGGTCTGAGAAGGGGCTTGGCTTTGGGCGTCGAGACCAAGCCATTCTGTTCATCATACGCCGTCTTATTTAACCTATTTATGGTTTGAAGATTTCTGTCTTCTGGGTTGTTGCGCTGTGTAGTCTGGTCGATGTTTAACAACGTTTCAGAGGTCATACTGCCTCCGTCATCGCCCTGATGACGACCTCTGAAACGTTGGTAAACATCGACCAGACTACACAGCGCAACAACCCAGAAGACGGAAATCTTCATACTCATCGCTGTGAGAACCTCAAGTCTTACATATTTATGGTTTATTTAACAAAACTGGCGATAAGTCAGATTGTGTAGCGTCGAATTTTTGGTTGTTTGGCGAATTGGAAAGGGTGCGGATGGAAGCATTCGTGGTTGTCGGCGTTGATTGTGATGTGTGAAACGTCTTCCAGATTTTTGTGTCCATAGGTCTGTGGAGTTTCATGAATCAGTTCATATGCGCAAACTTATTTGGGGGATGGGGGCACATGGCATAATCTTGAATACTTATATATCCTTACGAGAAAAAATAAGACAAAGAATTTATTAGCTAATAGTTCCTCCTTAAATGTGCTGTTTAGAAAGAAATCACTTTCTTCATTCAACATCGTGCATGTCAGCTCTTTGACTTGGCACGACCTTCGGAGACCGTGCAAGATGGGAACGAATCTTTAAGTGCATAAATCTTCCTGAGGTTGCAAATGAAAGAGAAGAACCGATTGTACATTACTCAACAATTCACAAGTCGCGGATGTAACAGATCTTTTTTTCCTTAATTAGATCAATAAAATTATTGCGGTTCGCGTTTCTTAGCGATAGCATTGTTACGCTCTGCTGCCATCTAAGGTCGCGAAACGGAAGACTCAAATAAAAACATGACGTCATTTTTATGACTGTGCTGTTGGGTTCGAAAATTGCCGGCGTGGTACCCGCATATCGGTGCGTTATGTAATTTGTCAAGACATCGTGTACTTCCGGTGATGTGGTAATGGTTTTGAAATATATCCAGTTGAACTGCCTCAACTTCTCGTGTGTGTCTTGCAAGTTAAGCGGGCCTGTAATTTTCACTTCTATCGAAAAGTTTAAAATGTACCTCAGTATTAGATTGTTAGGTCAAGATGTTCAGAATTCTCAAGGCGAACACCCCCCCCCCCACCTCTACCTCCCCCGTTCAGACAACCCTGTAATTAACAGTCAGCTTGTTCGTGTTTCATTGCTGTGAAATTTGCATTTTATTTATTCCAGAACGACAGTGCTGCTAGCTGCCGTGTGGGTGACGGCGTTCTGCCAGCAGTTCCCGGGTGTCAGAGACTGCGCACTTGTACTACCGGACCCCCAGAGACCCGGCTTCAATGGTATCGAGTAGGTGCCAGAGAACAAGCAGTTCCTAAGTCTATTTAAGACAGGCGGGGAATAAAGCGACTTATTGGAAATGGAATGACGAATTGGACAATTTAGGATTTAATAACCCCCGTTAATTGTGTATGTATTTGTTAACATGTCAGATTACAGTGATTCATGAGCGCTCAGCCGCCATGTTATATCCTGCTTTTTTATCTTACCAGTTCCTCTAGATGACCTGAAATCTCGCCTCGCCTTGGTTCCACAAAACCCACCGTAGGATCAAATTATTGTTAATCGAAAAAAAAAAATTGACAGTGGAAACACGGTTCCCTAGTTAACGTTGAATAACGTTTAACTGTAGAAGTATATTTGTACTGAAATAAAATTCTAATATATACATTTACGTCTTATCTATACGTGACGTCATCCACCGACAGCTTATCTACGTGTTGCGTCATGTACTCAACACACACACTCCTAAACCGTAAGAGTTAGCTGAAATCTGTTTGTAAATTTGAAAAGCTCGTGTTTATTTACGTATTTCACTCGCAATATGTCCCGATCTAACTCTTAAGCTTTAGACGTGGCAAGCGGTTGAAGTTAAGGAACGAGGGTATAGTTATTACGTGTTTTGGGTAATTATTTCAACAATTTATAGAATAAAGTAAACATCATATAGAAAAAGCCCTTTATTTCCTCTTTAATCTACATATAGGTTTATAGGTCTCGAGTTATTGGCATTTGAAGAAGTTACCTTACATCTTACAGTTTCCGTCGCGTGTACCGTGATTTTATAAACGATATTCAACGCTAAAATGAGAGAAAATTAATGTTAAGACGTGGTTGAGGTTGAGGGATCATTGGAGGTGCTGAAGATCGTGTTACAAGCGACTAATGTTTGGCAGGGGTTCGGATGTTCGGCCAGGATGCATAACGTACGAATCGGTGAACGAAGCGTTTCTACAAGCCCGCGAGAAGGCGGGTCTCCGCCGCCCACCCCACACGACGACAGTGTTCACCCTGGCTCAGCTGGGGTCAGCGCTTCAGGAAACGACGCGCCTTTTGGCAGACAGGTGAGAGAGACCACTGTGCACTGTTCATGGCGATATTAGACGTTTCGGAGGACAGAGTCATGACCACCTGCGATACCCCCGCAGGTTCCGCCTGTCTCGCGATGACGTGGCTCTGGGTCTGCCTCGCATCAACACCCTGAGGACTGACATCGCAGATTTCTGCCCCCGATCTCACCGCACTGACCGACCCTGCAGGGCGACTCGCTACCGCCGGCATGATGGTGGCTGCAACAATCTCCAGCACCCCACCTGGGGCTCCGCACTCCTCCCCTTCAAGAGGCTCCTGCCACCTGTGTACGCCGATGGTAATTTATGCCGAATGTAATTCTTAATTCAGGCGCTTGTTTGGTCTGTTTCTGTTTACTATAAAGTTGGAAAAGAGTCTCATCCTCTCCCACTGAAAGACGTAATATTTGCTGTTGCCTCTCGTACCGTGGTTGGCAACCTGCACAGGTGTGAGCGAGGTGCGGGCGGATCGCGAGGGCTTCTCCCTTCCTAACCCCCGCGTGGTGTCAGCTCACGTGCACAGAGACGAGGGCACTCACGATCGCGCCGTTTCCCTGATGTTCGCAGCCTGGGGTCAGCTGGTGGACCACGATCTCACCTTCACCGCAGAGACCAAAGGTAGGCTTATTGCGCATGCGTGAAGAAAATTAGTTTCAGTGTCATATTACGCACAAACTCTTAAGTAACAGTCCACTGAGTCAGGCTACTAGGGTTTGAAAACGTAACATAATTCAATGGACGTAAGTTTTCTAATGTCGGAGTGTGATGTTTAATACAAGCCGTAATTCCGTGGTCCTTAGAAACAGGGATATATCAGTAAAGTATTTATGCATTTTAATGATAGCTAGACCATTGAGCTTATTACTTGTATTAATAGTAAGAATGTGCGGAGATTTACCTTTATGCTCCTACGTGCCATCATTGTGTTGTGCCTAGACTAAGGAATATGTTAACCTTTATTTTGGTGTGTTTAAATAGCATAAATTTAAAGTTATATGCCCTTAAATGCCATAACATTTGGTGTCATGGCACATTTTTCTGAATTTTCCCCGAACGTAAAAAATATACTGTTTTGCCCCTGGCAATATTAAAAGTTTATCATAGAGGATTCTTTAAAATTTTCACAACGAACGAAATGTGCTAAGATTATGGTTAGTAAACGTCGTCTTGGACCGTTTCCCTACCTTTCACGGTCACCGGACTTGTGAGGTCTGTACAGATTCGGACCGCGTGATTTCCAGATCCGAGTGATCTGCGAGAACCGAACTGCTGCGGGTCTGGAAGACCTCGCCACCCCAACTGTCTGCCGGTGTCTCTGCCCCCGGACGATCACTTCTTCCGCCTCAACAAACAGGCGTGTATGAACATGCTGAGGTCCCTGGCGGGAGTCAGGAGCGACTGTCGGTTGGGTAAGGAAACCGATCCACTTGTTGGAACGCTGTGTAGTCTGGTAGACGTTTATAAACATTTGGGCGATTGGGCAACGTCGGTAAGCTTCTACCAGACTACACGGCGCAGCAACCCAAACGCTGGGATCTTCGTACTCACCGACGTGAAAACCTTAAATCTCACTTTCCAGTTCAGTTTGTGTCCTAGTCCTTTCGTTATCAAAACTTTCACGTGGAAGCTATTATTTTGCTTACAAAACTCTCCTGATTTCAGTTCAAACTTCCCCTGGATATTTAGGTTTCGTAAACTCCAATTCTCAGTTTTCTCAACCTCTGACCCAGTGTAGCTCATAGACTGGCGTGCTGGAATAGTGTGCAGATAGTTATTGATCGAATCCCGGTCGAGTCAGAAATTTATAATGACAGAACACTGAGGCCTTGTAGTTAACATTCACGCTTTGTGATCGGAAGGACTCCAGTTCAATTCTGGGCTCGTAGACCGTCTGTCCTGAATGAGGGTTTTCGTGGTTTCCTTCAGTACCTCCAATCAAGTTACAGGATACTTTAAATTAGGCCACGGCTGCTTTTTTCCGTAACGGTAAAGTTTTTCCTGACGCTTGACTAAGAAAGCATGACGCTTTACCCCCGAGGAGAAAGCTCCAGGTACCCATTGGGTAGGAGGGTGGGCGGGTCCTAGACCTGCTCGTTGTGGCGAAGACAAAATCCCAGGCCCGTCGGGAATCGAATCCCGGTTGCGCAGCCCGTAGCTTAGAAACTAAAGTAGCTGAACTACAACATCCTTTGCAGTTAATTATTTACGCTATAGTCTTGAGTTATTGACGTTGTAAAATAGACCGCAGATAAACAAACAGAATATTCGTGGAAATTCTGAGTCTCCAACAATATAAGTCTCGTGCGTGCGTAACAAACAGAAAATTCGTGGAAATTCTCAGTGTCCAACAATATAAGTCTCGTGCGTGCGTTCAGACTAGTTTATTTTAATTTGTTTTTTATTCTGCACAAATTTGCATATTAAATCTTAGGAACACTTCGTCCAACACATTTACCTTCTTCCCATGTTAAGCCCGACGCCCAGACGTCAGGTACAACACCTCTTGTTGGTCAGGTTCAGGAGTACTCCTACCTAATGAATATTGCAGGCTGACCAATGAAACGCTTTTCAATTATATACAACCCCCAATTACGTACTAATTCGCGCATGCTCTTTACGTTTGTTCAAGCTGAAAGCCGGGACCCTCCCTCTGATGAACCATAATCGACCCGCAACACACACAAAACCACCCCCTCCCCCTTCCCCTCGCCCTTCCGTCTGCATCCACACAACACTGCAAACAACCCCGAACAGCATCCTGTCAGCTTCTGCTACCCGCATGACGCGTAAACACGTTGAGGGAAGATTTTTGCTTGAGAATGCATCATGTTTACTGCTTACAGAACCCCTGTACGTCGTCGATTTTACCCTTCTGGTCTTGTTGAACACATATTATCGCTTCTGATGATATTTTAGTTCATTTACGTTAAAATTATAATTGTAACATGAAAGGAGCGGTTACTGGAACAATATTACTCAAAGTTTTGCGTGTTAAAATAAGTCGCTGTGAACAAAATAAACTGTTTGAATGAACATTGGTCGATTCTTTTGATTTTATACGAAAGAAGGGTTTTTTCAGTCGGCTAACAACTTGCGAAAACCAAAAATAGTAAACGGAAAGTAACAGAAGATCGCGTTTCGTAAAATGAAACTTGTGTAGGCTTACATAAAAATTCGGTAACCGGAGAGAGTGTGACCCTTGGTCAGACGTGTTGTCGTTTGTCTTGAGGTTCTTTCCTTTCTCTCCCTGGTGGGGTACGTGGGGTTTCTTGGTGGGGCAGAGTGCTTGCGAGTGACAGGGTAGCAATACGCTCGAGGAGGCTGTGGAAGCGGAACGTTCAAGCTGCTCCAGGCTTTTCTATTGGCCTGGTAACTAAGGGGCGAATACTGGATGATGTGTAAGCATCCTCCCCCCCGAGAGTGCGCACAGCTGGGCGACTGCGTGGAGTGGAGTAGGGGACTCGGAGCATTCAGATCCGTCGACGAGTTTCATTTCCCGTATTAAATGTTGGTAAAATGAAGCGCTGATTCAAAGGTTGTTGAACTATGCCGTGTCAGTTACAGAGGTTTTGTAGCTTAAACATTATCTGTTCTCGTTCTTCTGTGGTTCTGCTTCATTATTACCTAATCCACTGACCTCGTTAAATAAGCGAATCTTTTCTATTAAATGCTCACGACTGTCTTTTAAAAACCCTTTGACGGTACGTATCTCGTTCAAATGTCTACGTTAGAATCATTTATGCGAACGACGGCTTCCTTTAAAACCCTTTCTTACTCAGAATTCATGATCATCTTGTCACCTTTGCCACGCCTACGCCTAGCTCCTTGCACCCGCATCTCACGACCGCCTGCAGGTTATGCAGCCAGTGCGTATTGTGGCCGCAGGTCCCCGAGCTCAGACCAACACCGCGACGGCCTACATCGACGGAAACTTCGTGTACGGATCGAACGTGCGACTGGCAGACGAGTTGCGGCTCCTGAAGGGAGGCTTGCTCAAGACGCTGCCCGCGTTTAGCGACCTGGGGCTCAAGGACCTCATGCCGCTCAAGCTGCAGTTCCCCGATGACGGCTGTATCCGCAGTAGCCCCGACATCTACTGTTTCCTCGCAGGTAACATTCCGCTGACCAAGTTCCGCTCGTTTTCCTTTTGTCATGTATCATGTCCTGTTTCTGTGGCCCTGTATTTAAACAACCGATTAATTAATGAAATTATACGATAAGTAACTAACTGACTGACTAACGGAACATTTTACTAGGTTGCGACCTCTTGTGGTCTTATATGTGGGTATGGTTTGATGGAATTTCTGAAAGCAAACCAATACAAAATGCCTCTAATCGTGATATCTCGTACGTAACGTGGAAAAAGGAATATGAGCATGTCACTACATAATTTTGCAGAGCCCCTGGCATGCTGTCAGCCTGTAACACGGATGTGTAGGAGAAGTTGCCGTGCCGTGGTATTCGGTAGTGGCTTTGTATTAGAACAAATAGCGCATAAGTTCATGTAGGTTAAGTGCAACGAATTCCATTAGATTACACAAATGGCTTAGGAGATGAAAGAAATTGATACGAAATTGTTTTATTTTCGCGTTGATGTTCATGTTTCAGTATAGGTATTCCATAAAAAAAATTCGTTAAAATTCTTAAAAATTGTTTCATACGAACAAACCAAGAGAGGGCTAAATCTTGCGATTGTGTTCTGTTTTGTGACGCGTGTTAATCGCGAAATTAAACCTGTAACGTTTTATTCCAGGCGATAACCGCGCGAATGAGAACATGGCTCTGGCTGTGCTCCATACGATGCTGGTAAGGGAGCATAACCGGATCGCATCAGAGCTGAGCGAAATTAACCCCGCCTGGGATGACGAGAAGCTTTATCAGGTAGGCTGCTCACGTCGGTGAGGACGTCGAGTGTGGTCTCCTGGGCTGTAGCGCCATGTCCCAGAAGACGGACATATTCATAATCACCGCAGTGACAACAGTTTTCCTTTGAATGCAGGAAACACGGCACATCGTGGCCGCGTTGGTGCAGCACATCACGTTCACCGAGTTCCTGCCGATGCTACTCGGCAAGGAGACCGTGCAGAAGTACGACTTGGTGCCAGAATCGGAGGTATGGAACAGCTGTGTGTTTCTAAGACCTACAGTAGCGCGCAGTGGCAGGCTTCCCTTTCCAGTAACCACTCGCTGTTTGTGCAGGGCTACTGGGACGGGTACGCCCCTGACGTGGACGTCACCATCCCTTCAGCCTTCTCTACGGCTGCTTTCAGGTTTGGCCATTCTTTGCTGCCGAGCGTCCTGGAGCGATGGAGCCCCAACCATGTCCGAATAGGTCAGTGACTTGCGCTGAATGCCTTAATTTGTCTTTGGCTCTCGAATGATCTTGAAATTATTTTTCGTAATTCTTCCCTAGCCCTCTATATTTTGCAGTACTTCCTGCAACTATTCCAGGTTCCTCGCTTCTTGTTCTGCTGTATTTATGGCAAGGATAACATACTTTTAACAGGCTTAAGAATTTGCCGTAATGAAATAAAGGCCATACAGATTTTACCGCAAAGCAGATACATTATGTGTTCTTTCTGTACGCTGCTAAATTAAATTATGCTTCTTACTTTCTGTTTTAGGTAAGTTTTATTCTTGTTTGATAAGGGAAAACAATTTCTCTTTTAATTCCAAAGGTGCCCTTAGGCTGAGCGAGACGCTGAAGAGACCGTTCGACCTGTACAAACCAGGATGGTGTGACCAGTATGTCATCGGACTTGTCAACCAAGTGGCGCAGGCCATGGACCAAGGGGTCACAGAGGAGGTATAGTAAAGTGACCTACAGCGTATCACCAATTCCAAGCAGTTATTATAGGCTGTGTTTTATAAGCAAGCTTGTCCCTATATTTTAGCATCACGATATAAGGCGTTTAGGTGGTGTGGATAGCAAAGCTCCACACCAGATGAAGGCGAGTGGTCATTTTCATATTGTGGCGTCAGTATTCCCAGTGCACGCTGGTTTGATTACAACCACTCTACAGAAGGGGCATGTGGCAACAAGTACAAAAATAAACTTGGTTGGAAATGAAAGAGTTGTGACAACTTTTCAGTACTTGTGTTAAAATGTATCTGAGACAGGGTGCTTAGATTAAACTGGATTTGACTAGGTAGGGTACACTATCATACTTTTGCTACCAGTGATTTTAGCTCGATACCTGATGAACATGCATCAGACACTTTAGTACTGCACTGACCTGACTGTTTAAGATTCACGTAGTTTTTCAGTTAAACTTCCAGTCTTGTCGGCTGGTAGTTTATATATTCACATTTTATTACCAATATTTAGAGTAGACTTATTGCATACAACATTATTTATAACACCAGGCAAAGTACTCACCTTGTCGTGGTGGTGGGGCTTGAGTACCTCAGTGACCCCAAGAGCTACTGGTAGGGCCTCCCTAGCCAGATTGGTCGAGGTGGAGAGGTCAGACTAAGACAGGTACCCTGGTCCTCCAGGTTGGGGGTTGGTCACAAGGCTAACAACCTTACACCGTAAAAAGGAAGATGTTTCGAAACCTCGATCAAAGCCTCGGACAGACGGACCTAACAGAGGAATGGAAGAGGAGAATTGAGGAGGCCGTGGACTGAATACGGACCGGAGAGCCATAGAAGAAGAAGAAGAAGAAGAAGAAAGGTATTACCTATTGTACTGAAAATAAGAATGTTTAAATGTGCTAATTAGTATCTTCAGAACAATTAGTGCTGCTGTATCAGACCACAAATAAGGAAAACAATAATTCAATGTGCTTATAAGCAAAATGAGCAATAAGTGTGATTCAGGTTCTCACAGCCACGTGTATGAAGACGTCAGTCTCCTTGGACGTTGTACCGTGTATTCTAGAATAAGTTTACGAACATTTTGGAGGTGCTCGGTGCCTCGATCATCACGGTGACAATAGTAACGATGAGGGCCGGAAGCACAAAATTTCTAAAACGCAGTCATCATCAAAATGAGCAACCAAAAACTACAACTTACCAGTAAGAAGAGCTGTATTTCTTTCCATCTACCACCACTACAGACTTGAAAAGTTTATCTTCCTGCTGTGTAGCGTAAGCAGGATGTTTTAGACCTCTGGCTCTCGTCCACGCGAGAAGCCGAGTCTTAGGAAGATCCACATCTGATGAGTACAGGCTCCGAAGGAAGGCACACTGCATTTCAACCACATCATCAGCAGCGGTTTCACCGCCTGTTTTCCTTTTCTTAATTTCTGGTTCAAGCAAAGTGGGAACAACTAAGTTTTATTCTTGTTTGATAAGGGAAAACAATTTCTCTTTTAATTCCAAAGGTGCCCTTAGGCTGAGCGAGACGCTGAAGAGACCGTTCGACCTGTACAAACCAGGATGGTGTGACCAGTATGTCATCGGACTTGTCAACCAAGTGGCGCAGGCCATGGACCAAGGGGTCACAGAGGAGGTATAGTAAAGTGACCTACAGCGTATCACCAATTCCAAGCAGTTATTATAGGCTGTGTTTTATAAGCAAGCTTGTCCCTATATTTTAGCATCACGATATAAGGCGTTTAGGTGGTGTGGATAGCAAAGCTCCACACCAGATGAAGGCGAGTGGTCATTTTCATATTGTGGCGTCAGTATTCCCAGTGCACGCTGGTTTGATTACAACCACTCTACAGAAGGGGCATGTGGCAACAAGTACAAAAATAAACTTGGTTGGAAATGAAAGAGTTGTGACAACTTTTCAGTACTTGTGTTAAAATGTATCTGAGACAGGGTGCTTAGATTAAACTGGATTTGACTAGGTAGGGTACACTATCATACTTTTGCTACCAGTGATTTTAGCTCGATACCTGATGAACATGCATCAGACACTTTAGTACTGCACTGACCTGACTGTTTAAGATTCACGTAGTTTTTCAGTTAAACTTCCAGTCTTGTCGGCTGGTAGTTTATATATTCACATTTTATTACCAATATTTAGAGTAGACTTATTGCATACAACATTATTTATAACACCAGGCAAAGTACTCACCTTGTCGTGGTGGTGGGGCTTGAGTACCTCAGTGACCCCAAGAGCTACTGGTAGGGCCTCCCTAGCCAGATTGGTCGAGGGGGAGAGGTCAGACTAAGACAGGTACCCCAGTCCTCCAGGTTGGGGGTTGGTCGCAAGACTAACAACCTTGCACCGTAAAAAGGAAGATGTTTCGAAACCTCGATCAAAGCCTCGGACAGACAGACCTAACAGAGGAACGAATGGAAGAGGAGAACTGAGGAGGCCATGGACCGAATACGGACCGGAGAGCCATAGAAGAAGAAGAAGAAGGCAAAGTACTCAGGCATGTCTATTTTGCAGGTGACAAACCACTTGTTCCAGCAGCCCTCTCACCGGTATGGGATGGACCTGGTGTCCCTGAACCTGCAGCGAGCTCGGGAGCACGGAGTGCCAGGGTACAATAATTACCGGCGCCTTTGCGGGCTGCAGCCCCTGCACCACTGGGCCAACATGCAGCACGCACTGTCCAATGAAACCGTACGACGCTACCAGGATATCTATCGGTCAGTCACTCAAGTTCTTAAAAATTGCTTAGAGAAGTGCAGGGATTGTCTAGTGCATTAGGTTAAGGTTCTTTCCTAGCATTTGACTGGAGGGTTTTAGAATGCCACAGCCATCCTCAGACTAAGTTTTTGGGCTGATATTTAAATCTTGAATGCCTGGAATTTGATTCTGGGCTGAGCTGTTGATACTTTAAACCTCCAGATGACTGTTTGGACAGAATCTTAAAAGAATTACAACAGCTACTTTTCACATCCTTTCTGTTTCATCAACCGCCAGTTTGCCACTGCATAACCAATTGAGTTGATAAAACATTCTTGAAGAAACTAAGAGATGTACATGACATAAGTTATCTAATATTGTCAGGGTACTTAGATTTGGAAGATTAATTTGGCTTGGACTTGAAACTCATAAATAAAGAAATTACTTCTGATAATTTACACCTTCCAGGCCACCAACAGGATATATATTTTTTAAATGTTGCATTTGTATGTGGCATTTGACACTCACCAGTTAACCATTTTCATCAGCTTGCTGTGCTATAATGGAAATAAATAAAAATATTCCTGTAGGCCTATGAAAACCTCAGCGTGGAAAGGGTTAATTAAATAGCACTGTTTAAACAATTTGAGAACATTAGAACTTTACCAGCAAGTTAATTAAGGGATGTTTTATTTTATCGCTGTAAACAAGAAAATTATGGAAGTGTGAGAATGTCATGCCACAGCATTGTAGCGAGTACTTCCACCTCTTTCAACTGATAGCATTCATTTGTTTTTTAGTCACCCAGACGATGTGGATTTGTGGTCTGCTGCTATATCAGAGCACCCAATGCCAGGAAGTTTGGTCGGTCCAACCTTTAACTGTATTATTGCCCGGACATTTAAGGATCTACGACGTGGTGACCGCTTTTGGTACGAAAACTCTGGTTGGCCCAATTCCTTTACACCTGGTAAGTAATACATGAATGTGACAATTAAGCTAGTGGTACCTCTTAAATTAACTGAAGTAACATACAGAATTATTATGCATTGTGCTCATTTTATAGGCACATTTGTCTTCACTTGCAGAACAGTTGCAAGCAATCCGACAGGTGAAGTTGTCCCGGTTGTTATGTGACGCGAGCGATAACCTGGAGACCATCCAAGTGTATGCAATGGTGCTACCAGACTTTCATACGTAAGTGAACCATTTTTATACAGTTAAAGTTGACGTAAATCATGGACTACATACAGCAATCCCTCGATAACCACGATTTCAAGGGTATGCAATTTTCCGTTACTTTTTTCCATCTGCATTATTTGCTTGATGTATCTGCAGTTTTTGTGTTCACATGTTTTCTTCTGTGCTACAAGATCCGCATATTATGGGGTCAGCGCTGCACATATTTTTCATGTCTTATGAAGGAAAGGCAACTTGGGTGTTGTAGAGTTTTATCCATGTCTTATGAAGGAGTGGCAACTTGGGTGTTGTAGAGTTTTATCAGCAGCCAGGGTTCCTGTAACCCTCAATTTCTGATAAGGCTTGGCAAGAGATTTTTGGTTCTTGTGTATAAATCAGTGTAATTTATTTGGTAGTTCCTCTGAGTTTAGTCTCTGATTATAGGAACCCTCGAATCTCATGTAGAAGTCGTGTCTTGCCAAGATTAGACCTGACAATGTGGAGGGACACAACTAGTCAACTGTCATTGCCTCAAGTGGTGAGTTGAATTGACACCTGGACGTGCCTGGAGTCCCAACAGCAAAGATATCTTTCCTTCCCCTTTTACCTGAAGGTGGAAGAATATCTAGCTTTCAAAAATTGTAATTTTATTGAAATATAGACAATGGACGTGAGGCCAGCAGTCAAGCTAGTCAGCTTTGGCTCTCTGGAGCTGTTACGCTACGGATTTAATTTTTTTTAATAGACAGTGGACAAATTCCAAAATACTACTTTTACAGATTATGATGCACCATCATCATAAACTTCAGATTTAATTTATTTTTAATAGTGACAGGGTCTGGAATAGTAGTGATTGTAAGCACAGAATTGGTAATGTGTTATGAGATTTTTATTTATATGTGGTTTTGCTAATGGCAGTAGCTCAAACTATAATTACTTTTACTGAGATTACAAGTACATAGTTTTAAATGACAGGATGATTAATGAATGCAGAATTGGAAAGGATGTGGAAATAAGTGGGTAAAAAGCATCCCGCTACACGCCTATGTAGGCTCTTGGGGGCGAGCGGAGGCATAGCACCTACTCTTTCTTGACCTCGGCACCAGATGGGGGAATAAGTGGGTTCTGGTCCCCGCATTTGCATGGAGTGGCTCAGGGATTATGAAAAGATTTGAACTCAGGACCTTAGAAAACAAAGCAGAAGGGCTGGGACATCTGATTCTGTGTTTCTCTTTCAACGTTTATGGTGGGCTTAATATAATTGAACGACACTTGGTGAATTGCCTGTTTCATGTATTTGGGACCTGTTGAACTTGCACCCCAAGATTTCCCTCATTAACAGATGACTTTATTTCAGCCCCTAGTTGAGGATGGAGATGACAGCAATTCCGTGGAGCTACCATTGGTACCAGAAGGTAAATCATCAAGAATTCAATTCCCAGACACTCCATTTCTTTTTGATATATTTAAAAAGTAGTCTACTTGTTACTAGTTACCGCTCAGAAACTTTGGTTGGAATGCCATATTGTGGGCAGTGTAATTTAATAAGATTGCAGATGTTTGTATGACTGGTCCCCTCTTCCGCTGAGCAAAGGGCATTAAGAGGAGGTACGAAAACTTGCAGAAGATAATCAACAAATAAATTATAAAATTTCTATGTACTGAAATTATATTTTGAGCTTGTAAACAGAACATGCTACGAATAAGCTGGTTTTTCTTATTATTGCCTGGATATATTCTGTATGTTCATTTATTCCACTTCAGACGTGCTCCCTATGTGTAGAATGTAACACCCAGAGTAATTTCAGCATTTTAATTTGTGTACCCAACTTGTAAATGACAGTAAGGCATTGCTCAGGTCATACGTATTTTTCTGGAGTGTTGGATGTTTCAATCACTGTAACTTCTAAACTCTTCTGCTATAATTGGGATGTCATTAATTAGTAATGTAAATGATATTCCCACTATCTTCTTGAATTTTTGGTGTTTTCTACACCTAATTTGATTTTATACACTTAATTTAAGAATTTCAATACAAATGATTGAAGACATGGTCAAATTAATATTTGTTCGGTATAAAAGTTATATTTGTTATATACCAACAGTGTGGCTATCTTCTGAATTGCTTTTAATGTAATGTGACAGCATTGGTTAATTTCTAAAGGTACAATGAAGGAATGCTAACTTTATAAATATTCTACATATACAATTGTATAGAAGACTGTAATTTATACTTGTTGGACAACTTTAGATAAGTATGAACGAAGATGTTAATACGGGAGCTGGCAGTTTTATTCTATCTTATATTTATATACGTATAATCACACTTTCTTATCATCTGTGTGAATCTAGTTTTGTTTTGCATCGGTGCTCTTTGTGAATTCACCCTTTAACGTCGTTGAAAAAATCGATTGACAGGTGGCGTCTTTTGAGGTTAGAACAAATAGTCGATGTTGATCGATATTCACGAGAACATTCTTTACTTACGTTAGATTCCGAGATGTTTGTCGTTAAATTTGTGTCTAGCAGATCTGAATTACATGAATTACAAGAACATCAAGACTGATTTAGGTAAGTGGATGTTTGTCTCTCATACTATAAAAGTGGTTAACTTTCTGGAATACCATTAATTGTACAACTTTTACGCGAATAAGTATTGTGTGGGAGTAGCCTAAAACTTTTCACTGCACAGTGTAGGATTATGCTGAACGAGAAAGTTGTCCAGTATTATTGAAGGACGTTCTATGAATTGTAATGGTTGTATAGAATTAAGTAACACGTGAGCATAATTACGAATAAAAACGGATGGACAGAGAAAAGGAAATCCTTGGCGTATTAAATTTGCCACGTGTGTGGAACCGAGCTTCACGACAAACGAATAGCGGTTATAGGAATCTTGTCATTTTATAGTTTGTAGGTTATGAATAAGAAAAAAAGTAACATTTTTACAGTGAAGAAAATACGTTATCCGTATTCTAATCTTACGGCACGTTATCATAATTAGAATTGAGTTGCCTTTTAATTTGTGTGCTACATACACGATTTGTTAACGTATAAATACAACAGAATTAATATTGATGCTGTCTTTGCAATGTCATGGGTACGAAAGTACAGCAGCCATCGTCTGCTATTACTACCGCATTAGACCGAGAAATATAGTAAAATGAATAGGTTTGATTGGAGTCGGTTGTGACAGTTCTGTACATATTATGTCAATAAGAAAAGTGAATATATATATTTAAATAGTATACACCTGTGATACACAGTACATAGCCTATATCTTGCTGCCTTAAACAGGCCTTTGTTATAGTAACGAATGCTTCAGTCTGGCTAGTACTTCACTGTCAGACCACTAAGTTTGGAGGAATGTATAAGAAATGGTTTGCTGTGTAACACAGCAATAGCACATTATTATTAAATATTTTAACATTGTGGTGTAATTGTTTGGAAGATTTAATAATATTGCATTAGACCAGGATTGACCACTGCGTTGAAGGCGATACTATTCCAAGGGTAGAGGGAGAGTTAAAAATGACGGTGATCCCGGGATGTCATCTACGAAAATTAGGGCAAGGGGACGTCATTAACAAACTTTCTGCGTATGTAGGTTCTCGTTTATTCTTTCTAACTCGTATGCTGAAAAAGAAACAACAGTTATAATTAGACAGTTTAATTTTATGTTTAACTTAACAGTGTGAGCAACATAAAATTCGTATGAAAGTTTGATGTTCGCATATAAATATAATAAATTAATAAACTTTCGTAAATTCTATAAGCATGATTCTAGAACTTGTTAATTGTAAACAAAATATTATGAATTCTTCTTGGGTTGCCAGCCATGTCAGGTGGTTGTGTGGAGAAAACACCATCGTTTCGAGAACCGTCTTCGTCCTGAGGGTAAAAACTTGTCGTCTTGCCTGATTTGTAATACATTACAATATTTTGCGAAGTTCATTTTTCTTCAATTGCTATGTAACTTCTAATATCCAAAAGAACGACCTATTTTAAGTAAGCTGGCGTATCGGAAAACCTCCAAGTACAGGATTTTCAGGCTATGACACTGAAAGAATGCGGTGTGTGTACATGAGCGGGTAATTATTGGATAATTTTACTTCATGAGATACATTTTTTGATTGGCGAAAAATAAATGCCTGGGACAAGAATCTAATCTAATCTTTGGATTCGTAGTCGCACAAACTGAGTGACAATATGCACTTGGTAAAATGTTGGTCACGACCGACCGTCGCGTTCAAGTGGTTAGCACTCCTGCGTCTTAGAGGTCCCGGGTTAAAATGTTGGCTCGTAGGCTGTCGTGACTGATGTTTTTCGTGGTTTTACTCTGTCCCTCCAGGTTATGGCCGTGACAGCGCTTTAAGTTAGGCCACAACCGCTTCCTTCCATGTTTTTTTCAAATTATTGTTTACTATCTTCCTCTCATTCGACGTCGTCTGAGGTGCTTAAAAGCGTCGTTATATAAACTATCAATATCAATGTAACATTTGTCACAGTAGTGCACCAACTGTATGAGGTCACTCACCTACGAGCTTGGAGTTCAGGAGTTCTCCCAGCACGTAGAAGCTAAAGATGGCACCAGTGCAGATCGCGAAGAAGAGCATTCTAAGTGCCCAGGTGTCCAGCACGCGGTAAATGGGGTAGATCCACGCGCCGTCGTACAGAAACGCGTTCAGGCACCTGCACATTTGGGTTCTTATCGCTTCACATGCACTAGACATTCGAGTCATCCTTTAAAGCACGATAATCCTTACAGGCACTGGTTGTATACGTGAGACGTTAAATGGATTAAAATGGTTCAGGGTTAGTGAATGGTAATAACTGAACATTCGGGCTCGATTACGAGAGAGTTTTTTTTTGCCCCAAATGACCGTACTTTCTGTTGAAGTAATCTTTTAGTGATTTAATGAACAATGAGAGCCATAACTACTGAATGACTGAATGGAACAGCGGCTACTGACTTATTTTCTTCGTAAAACTATTCCGATTTCGACTTTTCAGGACCAAGAAAATCTCCTTTTCTCGTCGTCGCAAACCTGTTAATGCACGAATTTTAATTATTTATGCACTTAATGTGGAAATAATTATTATATTAACCTGTTAATGCACGAATTTTAATTCTTTATGCGCTTAATGTGGAAATAATTATTATATTAATATTTTTCGGTTCCATTGGATCAGTATAATTCGCACGTGATAATGTTTTTTGAACAAAATTAATAACAGCAACAGTTTAAATAAATTCCAGCAAAACATGAATGCGTAATTTACCGAGATGAGGTTAGAACGGAACGCATTAAAGATGGAATAAGGACTGGATGCTAACAATTCGTAGAGGTTCTGTTTTAAATTCTAAATTTACTAAAATGTTCAAGAACTTTGACAACATCGAAAATTATACCCATGACGTATTTGTATCGAGAAGGTTTTTTAATTTTTGCCTTAAATACTTTTATACGAGATTAACATTAAATTAGGAAATTCGTTTGAGTGTATGGTACTCACAGGATGTCATACACCGTGAGGTAGAGCGCCAGTGTTGCCAATCCAAGGCTTCGCTTGGAATAGCGATGCCTGGTGATGCGCATCTCTATCACCAGGGCGACGATGATGACGGTGTGAGTTGAGTGGTTGGTCCATGAGGGCAAGACGACGTCCATGGCGCTCGGGAACACCAGCTCCCGATCGATCATATACAGACCCCAGAACATGGACGACACAAACTGCTGGCACAGTGTTATATGTGATATTATACCTGTCGCGTAGGAAACAATCTTTGGACTATCACAACACAGTCACACGATGTACCGACAACCTCGTACTGAGCCCATGAAAAGGTGGGAACGGCGCTTCCCTATGTCATTTCAAAGGGAGTCTCCTGGTAAAATCGTTAACCTGCTAGCCCCCCATCCGCCAAAATAAGTGCACCGTAAAGTGCTTCCTGTCTGGCCAGATACTTGAAGCTGAACTTAACGTTTTCGCCAACATAAGTGGTAATACAAATGCACCGTAAAGTGCTTCCTGTCTGGTCAGATACTTGAAGCTGAACTTAACGTTTGAATTTTAGGTGCATTTTATGATTTTACGATACAGAAAAATAGGCTTGTGACACTTTCATCTGTTGACGAAAAGCATGAAAACCAGAGTCTCGGTCTAGTATATGCTCTGTGGTATCGCCGCGCCCTTTCGGCAACTTCTCCGGCAGGAGTGTCGAGCTGTCAGTCTAATTGATCTCGGCAGGCGTTAACTGTGTGATGATATACAAAAGAAACCTTTACTCAAACGCCTAATCATCGCCATCAAGTCGAAATCTAAAATGGATAATCTGTTCGTCTCAGGTTTCTTGCCCGTCTTTTGCGGGGCTCCATTTTATTATCAGAGTTTCTTGTGGTTTTACTTAATCCGTAAAACAAATGCGGGACAGATTTCCGGTAGAGATTTTAAACGTTTAGTTTCAAGTGCATTCACGTTGTGATATTCTCAATAGTCTCCAGAAAACCTGTAGCAGCGTCAGATAAAGAGGTCAAGAACTCTTCGAGGTCATCTCCGGATTAATGTCTACAAATGTGATTGACGCAACGTGAGGTTCTTTGGCTTTGTTCCAAGGACAATAGTCCACTGATATAATTGGTGGACATCGGAAATCCGGGAAAGTTACGCCACAATTTTGTGTCTGACACAGTAAAGATTCTGAATAATGCACTGACTATCAATCTGTGACTCGTGACGTTGTTGGTGACCCACGGAATTTTTAACTTGTTATGAAGATGTTTTGGTATGTATGGACGAACAGATGAATGAAGACAATGCTTGTGCACAGGCTCTCTGTGTATTTATGCTTGCATATATTATTTACAAGTTTATTTTATCAGTTACTAGCCTGAAAGAGTTCTCTCAAGTTTCCTAAATTTTGTCTAAGATATTTTTAGATTTCGTAAATATTTAGAGATGCGATTAGACATTCAGTAAAATGGTATAATTCTTTTTGAGTGAAATTATACTAAAATAACTTGCAGCTGCTGTTCCTGTCTAAAAAATGAAGCCGTGTCACTGTTAGTAATTACAGACCTAGCTCCATTTTAGTTTTTTTTTCTTAGTTTGACTGAACTTATTATACATTACCATGTTTCTCATTATTTTAAACATAATTTAAACCCTTGTCAACATGGTTTCACTAAATCGAAATATACCGTTACGAATTTGGTTACCTAACTTGTTTTTTACGCTCTGCTCTCAACGTTAAGACATTGAAATAAAGAACTGAATTGAATTTTGATAAGTCGCGGGCGTTATGAAGGACGACAGACATTCTGCGTTGTTTTTGTGAAAGTCTGACCAACGTTTGGATCCGTGGAATGTGAAAAGTTGAATGTGTGTATATATATCTATGTATGCAAAGTTAGTAGTGACGTGGCTTGTCACTGACCAGCGTCCCTGGGAAGAACAGAGACGTAAAGATGAAGTCTTTGACTCGACGGACCCATTCTCGTGGAGCAGCATTCCTCTCGGATAGTCGCAGGACGTCCTCAGTTAAGCAGATAACGAAGTACACCATTTGGACCGCCTGAAACAGACCACCGCACATCAAGTCACTGAACACTTTTTGGAAAGTGTATGAAACAACTATATTACCGGCTGCTATCCTGGTTTTATTCAGTCCCTACGTCAGACGTGGCGGTCGAAATGTTAGTACACATGCGTATGCTAAAGATCATAGGTTCAAATCTTGGCCCGGATTCCGGCTGTTCTGATTAAGGCTTCTCGTTCGTTTCCTTAGTTACGATGACAGGTACTTTCCTGGAGGCAGGATTATTAGTTTAAAATGTCTCTTTTACCGTAAAGAAAATTATGGATGGTTTGTAAATTAGAATATAAATGCATTTGCAAAATAAATTAAATGTATTTTATTTTTTGATACATATTCATGGACGTTGTTTATGGGCCCCGGGATTAGCGAATAGTTTAATACTGTTTCAAAAGCGTTTTAGTTCGTCGTTTTTGTGTCATTTTGTTTTTATGTCTTCTGTATTTCTGTGGTATACGCAACGCACATAAGGAGACCCTTCTTATGTGACGTTTTAGAAAAACATTTATAAAATTATTTTCGTGCCTAAGACATATGTCAATTACCATGGCATTTACAGGTCTATCTCTCATTTATTTTGTGTGTAACCATTTTCCATTATGGCTAATACAAACGCCAAAGTAATGTAACATGTGCTAACTCTATTTGGCCTGGAAATGTTGTAAAACAGTCGTTTTAAAATTATATTTTTTGAGAATTTCTATATTCAAATAAATTAAACAGCTCTTTAGAGAGTGTCCATGATTATATTCACAGGAACTGAGTGTCTTGGTATAAATTCGAAATGGGTACCTTCCCCCCATTTATATGTTGCCACACGCTCAAGGCTGCCTGTCGTTAGGCATTTCCCCTGCGATATGATGGAATGTTGGCTTCCCTGAAATGCGTTGCTGAATGCAAACATCCCTGACCGCACTCAACCAACAAATGATAACTGTTTGCATTCTTAACACTCTTTGCTATCAGCTAAGGACGTCTAAACAGAAACATGAATGGTATACCGCAAGAAACAGCGACCCAAAGTCCAAGTGTCTGACAACTTAATCGAAGGAAAGTTTTGTGTTCTGAGAATTTGTACGTCTGAATTGGGAGGGAAGGCGAAAATCGTCTGCGCGCCAAGAGATGAAGGCCTTCAAAAATGTAATAGAAATTACAAGTTTCCTGCTGTTCGAGTACGTAATAGCTGTCTAACTCCTAACTTGGACACTTATGGTGATCCCTTGCCATGAAGTCAAAGCACGTCACGCCTAGTCAAGCTTTGTCACGCTTGGGCACGCGTGGTCACTAAGTCACGCTTCGGCATGTTTGCGTTATGTTACGCAAAGCTCGGTTAAATTTGGATACTTTGCAATACGTTAAATTAAGTTTCGACATGTTTGGTTAGGTTAGGTTAAATTTGTTTAGTGGATTTTGATAGGTTAGATAACGTTTTGAAAATTTTTGTGACGTATTGATACTTATGGCCACAATTCGTCACGCCATTACTGTACGTCACGCATAGTCACGCTTGGTCACGCACGGTTACGCTTAGTCAAGCTTTGTAAATATTCGTCACGTTTCGACACTTCTGGCTATGTTAAGTTAAATTAGGCTAGTTTAGGTTAGGTTTAATTATGTTATGTTAGTTTGTTAGATTAGGTATCTTTTTGAAGATATTCGTCACGTTTCGTCACTTATGGCCACATCTCGTCCCGCCTTTACAGTACGTCACGGGTAATCAGGCTTTGTCACGCTTTTAAAATCTTGGTGATGTTTTTACACTTTCGGTGTCCTTTTCTCAAGCTTTCAAAGGAGGTCACGCCTAGTCACACTTTGTCAGTAATATATATTGTTGAAGATAATGGAGTAGACAGCAGCAGCTACTAGAATACATTATTTGATATCGCCCTAAACGTGGGATCCCTAAATAGGTGTACGAAACGCTGACTTCTGATTTTCTCTTGCGTTACGTATGTTTTGTCTTCGTTCTTAGTAGTCACAGCTGTAAGGTGCTGATGGAGCACATTTCCGTCTACAGAAACTCTGCCATTGTATTCGAATTACATTGTATTACATCATTAATCCTCCATGGACACGCGCGCATGCTTGTATTTTACACATACAAGACCAGACGTACGGCACTGCATCTCCATATAAAAGCATAAGTACGCTGTTTACAATAACAGTTATTTATTGTAAGAAATCCATTCGTTGTAATGCTTTGTTTGAACTCAGTGCATGGGAAAATGGTAGCGTAACAGAGGCCCGTCTATCTGGCTTTCCGCATTGCCTCGTCAGAACGACTGTCTATAAAGAAATGGTTAGATTTTTGTTCGGTAGGAGATTAGTGATAGGGGCACAAACAAAAATAATTATCAAAATATACTAAAATATAAACTTTTTGTATCGGTACTTCAAAGTGGATACAACTTTGTATCCTGTTCCTTGTAGAGACTTTTCAAGTTAACTGTTTATGAAACAACACAAGGAATAATCCATACAACATTTCTGAGGAACATACTGCCTCCATGTTTAGTTATAACCAAAAAGACATTTTCGCCGCTGTCAGAACCTATAATCTCTGATAACAGATTAATTTATGGACCTATTTTTGAGGAAAGTAATTGCTGCTTACGCTCTCATCGTCGTTTTATTCCTCAGTACCTCCTGTATAATGCTAGTACAACATCTTTAAAATATCTGAGTGGCTTATTGGATTAAGTCTGCAAAGAATAATTCCAGACCCTTCCCCATTCATCATTCAGAATTACATTACAACTTAATTAATGCTGATGGTAAAAATAAAGTTTGTCCCACTATACGCCATGTAGGCGCTTGGGGTGAGAGGAGGTATAGCTCCTCTCTTCCTTGACCTCGGCACTAGATGGGGGTGAGTGGTCAGCATCACGCCTCGGCCGGCTTTACCCCCGGGAAAGGACCCCGGTACCCATTGTAGAGGAGGCTGGGTGGGCCCCAGAGCCGGTCTGGACGCAGAGGCTAGAGGAAAAATCCTCTGCCCCCGTCGGGGATCGAACCCCGGTCTTCCAGTCACTATACTGACTGAGCTATCCCGGCTCATAATGCCGATGGTAAAGTGTCTTTGTATAAACGATACTCACGAAGTTCCAGCAGGTGAAGTAGCGCCACTTGAACTTCTTCAGGACGTTGTGCACGTAGTCGTCGTCAGACTTCGTGAAGTCAATCTGTGTCAGCAGGTGGAAACTGACGTAAGCGTGGTGAAGTGACACCAGCAGATGGAAGAGAGCGTTCAGCATCGCGATGTAGCGTCCGCCTGCGACAGCGCCGATGTTATGACGACTATTAATTCGTGCTTATAAGTGCCGCTGGCTTTGTCGTCTGTTATCGCTTCCAGACGACTTGCGCGATGGGTAGCGATCGAAAGGTTTCGAAACTGTAGGGTGGGAAAAAAGGAGTTGCTGGTTTCTCAAGAACCTCTTTGTATCTGGTATTAATCCGGTGTCTGGTCTTATTCCGGTTCAAAACGAGGACTGAATATCCTGACTTGAATATTTTGAGCATCTTGTCAGCGGTCGGAAGGTAACACACGGACAAGTTTTTCGTCAGGCCAGACAGCGAGAATATTTTTCGATGGTACTCTGTAATTTACCGATTACTTTTCAAAGTTTTTCAGATGTGTTTTATTCGAAGAAACTGGCCGTATTGAGAAACTTCAATCACGTGGTTATTGGTTTCAAATTCCAAGAAGCAAAGTTATCGAAGTAATAGTTTTACCTCTCTGCCGTCTTTAAAATAAACTTATCGGAGGGAGACTACCTTTTCTAATTTTGATTTTCCGAAGAATCTTCGTTATGCAGCTGTTTTTAGACGTAGTACATCGATGGCAGTTGTAGCAAAATGTTTTCTGACTTTCTTTTGGAATTCAACAGTCGTCAAAGTGTTTTACGAATTACGAAATTTTAATCAGGAAACACTACCTAACACTGAATATTCAGGATTTTTGGTATAAAAGTGTGCCCAATAAATAATTTTGTTCCGCCTTATACTTCAGCTGCATGAAATATTAAAAGTGTATATAGAAAATAGTCGCTGACCAGAATGATCGCAGATTCCAGTTGGTGTTAGGGGTGTCGGTGGTATTAAGCCGAATCAGAACAGGTTCTAGTGGCGGGCTCCTGAAAACACGACAATGAGCATTCGGATTCCGTAAGAGGGATGGATTTTCGTGATCAACTGAGCGACCATCAGCTTCTTAAGGATGATCTATATTCCAAACGTTGCTTACGATGTTCACAGACTCTTGAACTCTATTTGTTGCGGGGACTGTCTCAACAGTCTTACAGTGAGACTTACATCCTCTTTTGTTCGTGAAATCGTCATATAATGTTGACAATTACTTAAGTCTGAAGGTTTCTAGCAATGGTGCGTTAAAATGTGTAAAAGTGTTCTTTCGGAATTTCTCCATCTTCTGATATCTAAAATTATAAAACTACAACGTTTCGGAAGCTGGATTCGGCTTCTGTCTTCAGGTAAAAGAAATGGGGAAGAGGTAAGACAATATATCAGTTGGACCTCCTGGTTCAGCTAGCTTTAGACCTGGCTAATCTGAAATTCAAGGAGGTGGCTGTCTTCTGGGGTGTTGAACCATGTATATTGACCGACGTTCCAGAGCAGTCTACTGCCTCTATCATCAGGGTGCAACACTCGAAAAGACAGCCATCTTCATACCCGTTGCTGTGAGAACTTATATCACCACATGATGAAGTACATTTTCCAAGTCACCTACAGATTACACAACCAGTGAGTTATACGCTGACTCTCGTAAATCGGTGGAACAAACCGAATTCAATGCTATGAAAACACAGATTTATTTCTTCTTAGACAGCTCCCAAGAAATTAGTACAGAAATTAAGCCACCAGCAACATTTGTGTGTGATGTATTTTGGTTTGGTTGTAATTTTAATGAAAATTTGGCCATTTTTTACATCGTATGTT